TGTGTATGGTTTCTTTCTAAACTTCTGAGTTCAGCAGTTTTCTCAAAGAGATGTCAGAATAGCAGAGAAATAGGAAAGTGAAGCTCCAGGGAGGGAGACCAGAACAGCAGTGTGCCATTTGGGCTGGCACAGCTATTCTCTCAGATCACTGTATTCTTTTTAAACTGAGCTACTGTTCCTGGAACTATAAAGAGATTATATTTGTCTCAGATTGAACTGTAAGTGTGAGTTAAGAATTCTTGCCAAGTGTGGGTTGGTTGAAATCTGAAATGGATGAGGTGATAGAAAATCCTGCGTTTTTATTTCTCTCTATGCCATATGATGCCCCTTTATTACAAATTAGACCAAAAGGAAGCAAAATTAACTCTGAAGTCACTAATTTACAATTCAGCCATTTTGCTCTGACAATGTAATGTGGATAGATGTAAGCATGCATTATAATATTCCTAACCTAAAAATGGTTAAGTAAAAATTCAGAGGCAACATAGACACTCACATTATGATCCTAAAGTTAATACTTTCTCTGAATAATTTTCATCAGCTTTTGGCCTCTAATGCCTGTACAAAAGTATCATATGATAATTACAGCTATGGAGTTTGTATATCTTCCTAAATTCCCAAGTTATTTTCAGAAAGAACATTTAGGTCTTAAAAGAGCAGAAGAAAACAAAACCATCTTTTCTCCAAACATACTCTAGCTGTCATGTGCTGGGGCTAATCCTTGCTTACTTGATGAAGAGGGGGTAGTTGTACCTTCGTTCCAGAGGTCAGAGCTGTGGCAATGAGCTCTGCTGACTTAAAGCCAACACTGTTTACTTGTAATACACTATCTGTATGAGTGGAATATTAAGTATTATTAAAAATAAATATATTTGAGGAAAATAGAAATAGAGTAGAAAATAGAATTAGGGTTTTAAACTTAAAGATTTTTTGTGAAAATAACAGAATTTCAAATCATCTGGTTATGAATTTAGCTCATAACATAATACATAGCACAGTCCTTTATTATTTATTTGGAAATCATTCAAACAACATTTGCCATGTTACAATGTAGCATGTATCACTACAGAAACTTATCTATATCTTTATAACTGCCTAGCAATATAATTCTATATTAATAAATTCTAACCCTTTTATTTTATCAAAATTCATCTAATAATTAATTGTTACATATGATAATTATTCTGTATAATTTATAACAGAAAATAGCAATCTATTTAAGGATTGAAGCAAAGTTGCTTGCTAGTAGCCATTTTTTTCTCTTAGAAAATGCCACATAGACTGATATCTTCCATGAGCCGTAAGATAAATATTTCTGGAGTGAAGTTTGCTGGGTTTTCTTCTCTAGGCAATACATGCTGACTTTCCAAATAGTTTAAATAAAAAGTAGTTTTAAATGACAAAAAATATAGCAAGTTTAGAAGGATTTATCCCTCATTTAGAATTTTTTTTTTTTTAAAAAAAACAAGGTTTGGAAGTTACTGAATACTTCAAAACTAGTTTACTTGTAAAACCGAAATATAACATTTCAGATTATGCACAAGGCATTTAAAAAATGGGGGGGGGGGGCTTT